ATTATAATAAACAAGTTTCTCAACTATTTCATTGCTTTTTATATAGAGTACAGTGTTTGTTCTGTAGCCAAATTGTACATTTGGACAATTGATAATTCTTTTATGAAGGGATAGTTGTAGTTTTTTTACAATCACTGTTTGTTGCACCTGATATAATACAATATTCTTGACGAGAATGATGTTGCTGATAAATCCAACAAAAGTTTGACTTTTGATTTTGAATAGAATACAAGAATCATCGAATTTTTTACTTTTTGCGAATGCCACGGTGGTGAACCTGACAGACCCAATATATGACGTTGAATACAGAGTAAATTTTCGTGTGTGAATACTAGAAGAAATTTCGTCCAGCTCCGATCGATCGACTTTTCTTTTAAAATGCACTTTTACTGTAGACAATGCTGTTGCTGTGGCATTCGACGATAGTTGAACACGTTTAGTTGCTTGAACGTTGTGAAGAAGTTCTTTGATTTCACAATTAATTGACGATGAACTTAGGAGAAACTGGGCCGAACGCAAGGCATTGAGATTGTTCTTTATCTCGGATGCGTGATTCTTCGTACTGTGAACTGTAGAGATAATCAGTCCTAAAGAGAGATAACACACATAGAACTGTAAACGTGTTTAAGTTTGCTACATTTCAGCATACTATAGATCCGTCAATATCTCTCCCTTACAAAGAAAGCGCCTATCGTAAAAACACACATTTCTTACCTAATACTCCTTCGAAGTTGAAGGTTGAATAATTTGACAATTGACCATAATCAGCTATTGATTGATGTAGATGATGCAGCGTATGAATATTTTGAACATTATGTCTTGTAGAGTAGAGATGAGGGAACAGATCGAGGAATTCACGTAGTAAAAGATGAACTTCATCTATTTGGTTTTCAATCAGATGTTTTGATTCTGCAATGTGAGCAGCGACGACGAGCAAAAGTAGATGATCGTAGTAAGGTTTTTTCAATACATTTTTAAAAGAGAGGAAGCCAAAAAGTAACACCATTCGTTGTTCATTAGCTTTAAACCGATGATAATCTAAGAAAGTACGAGGAGCACGAGCCGTTGTTGAAGGATAACGATATTTTTCAAGATTTTCGGTGATTTTATTGATCTGAGAACGACTAGACCATTCTTCATTACGATATTCCGGATTAAACCACAAACCGAGCTGCCGTTCCTAAACGATAACAATTGGAAAATTCGCCGATTACTTAGAGAGACTTGCACGTATCAGACAACAGCAGAAAAAAATTCTTCCTTAGCTTTAAGTAAAGCTTACTCTACTTCTCATACTACTTGAGCTCTAAAATTAATAGTATCTACACTAAAAACTCGTCTATAGAGCACTTACAAATACACCGTGGTACAAGTTGTGGAGAGAATCAAACAAAATTGACTTTCCGAAATCCATATATTTTAAATTTCTCAATGCAAAGAGGCCAAGATGACCGTGTCTGGCAACTGCATCCTGCGCTTTTTCTTCACTAGTTTTTTTATCTAAACATTGTTCTTGTTCTTCAATGATTTGCATAATAGCATCGTATGTCACATTGGTGCGTAATTCTGGCTGAAGTTCAGGTGGTGATGGCAAAGGAAAGACACGAATTGTATGATATTCATTGGCACCACTCAGCACTAACTCCCCTATAAACAGCAAAGGAAAGAATTAGTAAAGTAAATTGTATCAGAAAAAGCCAGGAGAATTAATTTTCTGGAGGGAGGTTCTTGCAGACTTATACAAAACACTCGCGTTGATCTTTAGTCAAAATTAGAAAGAGAAAATAAACTTTACCTTGTAAATGACATTTCCCACATCCAAATGCACCATTATATTCCGTTAAGTTCTGTATTAAAGATTGTGCCGGTTTATCACAGGAAACTCCCAATAAAAATGTTTTCAATTGTATACTATCACCGTTATGAAGAGTATATTCATTTGTACATTCTAGTGCTTGCAGCTGAACTGTGATAGATTTGATAACTTCAGCAATTTGCTGTTTATTAGGCTTCCTTTTGCCTGACCATATTGCTGCCACAATAACATTCTTCATCTTGAATCTGAAAGAGCGATTAATTTCATTGATTATAAGTGTAAAAATCCACAAAGAATTATTTGAACTGTTTGATACTTGTACTCCATCACCGTTCATAATAAGAGAAATAAATGGTCCAGTTTCTTCGCGTAAGATCTGTCGATAACATCGGCCGTCCGTTATATCTTTAATAAAATCTAGTGGTGTGGTTCCGTTGGATCTTGTTTCAATCCCTGAATCGGAAGAACAAGTGAAATTCTGTTTGTCATCGTCGTGGGGAGTTAAATGGAGTGAAGGAAATGTAATCTTTTTTTCAGTTAATAATATTTCTCTAATTTGTTGTTCGATAGGAAATTGTAAATAAGTTAGAGGTTTCTCAATATAACCTTCATTTAAGGAACAAGTGCCATCATCGCAATTAGTAATCGAAGAGGAAGATTTTCCACATTGTGGACATAGAGATTTCTGCTTTACCAGTAAATTCGCAATCGATCTGCGTTCAACAAGACGTTTGGCAGCACGATAGCTTCTTGGACAAAGCTGAACTTTTAACACGTGTAACATTAAACAAAAGTCGTCTATAGCTTTCTGCGACAATTTATGTCTTGATTTCAGAATGATGAGAGCAATTGCAATGTCGATTTTCGATATTGCTTTTTTTGTTGTTAGAGATTCGGTGACAAGTGAACTGAATAGTAAGAGAAGAATGCTCACGACTCTGCATAAAGCTTTAGCAAAATTAAAAAGTCTAACTAAATATAAACTCACCTCTCTTGATTTAATATAGTTTCTTCAATAACTTCTTCAGTTGGCAACTGATTTTGCTCTGAATACCATTCTCTTGTTTCAATCCCTGTGGTGGGAGAACCAGTGCTGTCATTATCATCATTTATATGCTCTTCTACTTCATTGTTGGTGCTAATGGTTGTACCACTAAAAGAAAAGATATGCAAACAGATGACGTTTCAAGACAATAAAGACTCTATTCCTACTTACTTACTTTTCGTATTGTTGAGAGTGTATAACACCGTAGAACTTTTGCAATAAAGTTGAATCTAGAATAGTAGAATTTTAGAAGAAGACTAGAAAAGCGCACAGTATTCTGATGTTTATCTACCTCTTTCATGACATAAATCGCTCAACACTTTCAATCTTTTGCGACGCAAAGTCCATCTGCTCCACATTAAAGTAAGAGCATAATCTGAAGTAAAAAGCAGAACTTCTAAAGTTCATTTGACTTTTAGAATAAAGCTTAGAATTTATTATATAGAATTTATTATTTTTATTATTAAAATTTATTATTTATAGCTTTATTTCTAAAATATAGCTATATTTTATAAAATCAAGCTAGCACTTCTTCAAACGAGAAAGAGATAGTGGCTGTTATCTCAGGAACTCTTTTTTTATTGATAACACACAAAAACTACTGTTCTGTTTTAAAGCTTCTTTTAAAAACGTGAATAGTTCAAACAAACCAACCCATAACAGAACAAAACAATAGTTCATGCAGCTATGAATTTATCATTTTATTTTATTTGTCTTATTCTTCTTCAGCATCTTGTGCTTCAGTTGTAACATAGAGTGTTTGGTTTTTTGCGAATCTGGATGAACGAAACGGACCATTAATAGCTTCATTAATTTTATATTTCTCATACTGTTCATCACTATGTATTAATTTTACCAAATCTAAATTGTTAGTATCAGAATATTGCGTTGTGAAGACATCTGAGCTGCAATTTTCTTTTTTATAGTGAAATGAAATCTAACTTACCATGAATATGCTGTCTTCTTTCATCCTTAAAATCATCTCCTCATTTCTTGCCGAACATTAACTGGAAATAAGTGTCTAACAATTGCACGTGCGGTAGTGGATTGATGATCTCCTTTCAGCAATTTCAATATTCTCGGAGCTAAACCCAGTAATGGACCATAATTTTCATAAACCTGATCATTTGCCATAGCTGGTGACAGTAAATTACCAATTTGTATGAAATATTCTCTGGCTTCTCTGCCAGGTCGAGCTAGAAATAGATTATTCACTTGCGATAGTAGGAAAAGAAGTGATAATCCGCATTATCGACATAACTAGTGAAAACTTCAGAACCACTGCTTGCCTCACTAGCACTTTCTAGCTAACAGAAAATGATAGCAGCTTACGTATTGAATTAATTTTCAAATCATCATATTTCTTTTGAAGTTTCGCATGTTCTTTTTCCAATTGCAGTTGTTGTTTTAATAGCTGATTTAATTTTGTAACCAACTGCTTGTTGTCGGCTGAATCATTCGTTGACAAAGATTCTAATGCTTCATCATAAATCAAGCTTTTTTTTCTTGTTTCAATCTTCTTTTTATTAGCAAGAAGAGAACAAGCGTGAACTGGTGGTGGTTTTTTTGTTGTTGTTGAATTATCACGTGCTCTTTCAATTGCATTAGCAGATAAATTATTTGTTGAGTCACGTGAATTATTCAATCCACGAACTAAAGTCAGGAACAAAAACGATAACTAATTTCTAAAGCTTTATGTACAGTGAGACAACATGCTCAAGCATCTAAACATTGGTAGCAGATTAGAAAAAGAATCCAAGTTGTTTGCGAAAACATTTTATCTCGTCCTTCATTGACCAATGGTATAGCTCGAAAGAAAAGTCTATATCTTTGGAATTATGGCTTAACCCAATCGTTTTCTAACTTCCCTGCTTTACCTGCACTTTGGCTGTTCATACGTTGACTTTCTTGCAACTGTGGTGATGTTCGTGCGGTATCACTAACAATTTGTGTCGATGAACTCGATGCTGCCAATGAAACGGTTCTCTTTTTGTCATACGAATTGAATCAAGTGTTTTACTTATGATATCTATACGCAGCTAATCCATTCATTTACACTCACCTGCAACTTCAGATGCTGGAGCGGCTGGTTCGTCCTTTGCAGCTAAAATGTCGGGAACCTTGAAACTTCCTAAATAGGAAAAAAGAAAGCGATATTGTGTAAACACGAAAAATCAGTTAACAACACTCACCATTATTTCCAGCTGGATTTGTGTTTTCATTAACTGTTGTCTCTTCGTCCCCTAAAAAGAAAAATATTAGAAATTAATAAAGCAGCGCTGAAAGACCTGAGGTTACACGTGACTTACATTCGAATTCCATCAACAATTCTAATTGATGATTACACGTTTCTTCGTCACCAATGAAATTAATGACAGATCTTTTAGCATGTCGAGCAGCATGTTTCAATGAACAACTATCTTTAACTTTTAATCGTCTATTTGATGGATTCAATATTTGTCCTAATACAATTACTGTTTTTTCAACAGTACCGTCAGCTTGAGGTGTTTCAATTATACAATGAGTGTTTCTTGCTTTTGCTGATTGAGTAGAAGAGTTCGATGACGATGAACCTCGTCGTGTGATGGAAGACATTTTCTACAAGAGAAATATAGAAGCAACTTAGGACCTCATGTCCAGATTGCTTTTGCTGCAAACTGAAAATTCCAATAGTAAGCATATAATAAGGATGGGTAACTGCATATTGCAGCTCAACCCATAATCTGTCCTGTTTAGTTATGCTGAAAAATGTGAAAGTCAAATCTCTTTGTATATTTCGATCAAAATGGGATCAGAAAACTTAGAAATCAAGAAAGGATAGATATACTGCTCAAGATATGAGTGAGATAAGTTAGGCGCAAGGCTATACAATCAACCAACTTCTGTCACTTTTTACGTTCATTGTTGAGTTCTCAGCCTAACTTTTGCCTGAGACTATCTTGGTCTAGGACAACCTACATTCCCTCCTTCGCGCAATCACAAAAAACCATAATAAAAATGTGTACCTGCGCCTTCGTCTTATCCTTTTATTAAAGACAACTCAAAAGATCCTTGCACTAGGAAACGAAAATATTTCATTCTACTTCACATTATTTTGTTTATTTAAATTCATTTTTACGAAAGAAATTATAAAAACATTAACAGGCGTCGCTGGTAATCAAGCGCGTAAACGTATAGTGTGTTTTACGTTATATCCAAAGAACAGCTTTTCTGATGCGCTCTGATTAGTCAATCCATCCTGTGACTGCAAGGTTTATTTACATTCAATTGTGATTCACATTCACAATTTGTGAATGAACTTATATAGGTCTGAGGTACTCGATTATAAAGCATCTCAAAAATGACAAGAAGCTAGAACTATGAACAATTCATAACTCATGGAGTTAAAATCTAAAACAAAGGTGTAAATTTCATAAAATAGGATTCGAAATCTAAAAGTCGTTGATTTCTAGATTTCTTGATTTGAGATCGTGCACAATTCGAGGTTGTCGCGAACTCATTTTTCTGTAACTCTTCTGTTTTGCCAGGTACTCAGGTCAAAGAAAATGAGACATGAATGAGCCATTTATGAGCAATAAATGATATAGGCTTAAAATCACGTTAGAATCATCATGTGATGGCTTAAAAATGATGTAGAAATGACATCATTTCATGGTCATCATAAGATCATTTTGAAAAATGATCTAATTATAATTATTTTAAGATCATAGAAAGAAAAATGGACTAAATATGACCTTGCGATGATCATCTCGTTTTAGGTCATAACTGTATCATTTTAAGACCATATTTGTATGACCCTTTATGCCGTATTTATGATCATTTTAACATCTTATCTAGCTCATTTTTTAAGACATACCTAAATGACGCCGAAATGATCATAAAATGATTATTCAGTAATGCTCAGTTCAAAGTCATTTATATGACATTAGCTTAGCATCATTGATGTGCAAGTATTTATCCGATTTCTATGCGATTTTTATATATCATTTTTGAATTATTATGAAATGATGATAAAATGACTAAAAAATGATCAAAGGTGGACCGTTAATGGTACATACTAGTTATTATGCTCAGGGATGCAGGCTCACATATATATATATATATATATATATACCGGAATTAATTTTATATTAGCTCAGCATCAAATTTGGACAAAAAACTTTTTGTCCAATTTCTGTTTTTAGGCGGCATTATTCTGGCGCCACTGCTAGAGTGTTTTCGCGTCTAAACCCGGATACTGGATTTTTTTTGCTCTCTGTTCATTCTGTGTAATTTGTCTAACTTTAAAAGAAATAATTTGCAGTGGTGAATTTACTATTTCAACACTGAAAAGTGTCATACGAACAGGATAGGATTTAACTGGTTCTGTGCGCTAATCAACAGAAATCCAAAATGGCTGACATGCCTAAAATTAAACAGAGTTATTCTTTTTCTCACACCATAATGCGAACATGTGAACAACAAGTGAAATATTTTTTTTGCGTGGTAATTGAAAAAAACCCGAGCTACAGTTTTCTCAACAGTTATGATGGAAATCAACTTGAGCGCAAACAAGAAACGTGAATTTAGCGCGAAATAGTTGTAGTTATTTATGATTATCTCCCTTCTCTCAGTGTACTCATAAACAAAAAATAAGCATCAATACCTTCTTTTTTAAATGAAAAACAAAGAGAAGTAAAACTACTTGAGCTTGTTTCAATCCCTAGGGAGAACAAGTGAATAAACTATTTATGAATGTGAATTAACTACAAAATGTTTTGTTCGATTTAGCAAATAATTAACTTCTTCCTGATTCTTCAGACCAACATAACATTTTGTTCGGTCGGTGTTCAAATTAACATTTAATTGTGGGATACCATAATGTGCTAGTAACTGTCTAAGATCATAATATGAATGCACATTAACATCGTAACCTACGAAAAACGTATATCTTTGCTTTGCACGAAATAGTTTTCTACGTCTAGACTGATTTTTTTTGCTACTTTGTGAACGATCTTTTGGTGCAGTTGGTTCTCTTATAGTTTGAGTAAGAGCAGATTGTTGTATCGTCTATAGAAGAAAGAAAAATAATGCAGAAGTTTTGGCAGTGAATTCGAAGAAAAGTACACATACCGGAGTTGGTTCTTCACATTTATCAATACATATTAAATCTTCAATTTCTTCTATATATTGAGTAACTAAAACTGGTAAGCGATGTGCACATTTGTAGACACTGTCAATATCACTACAAAAAAAAGATTTAGTGTTAGCAAGTTGTTTGAGAGCAGGGAAACAGATAAAGAACAATCAGAAGTCTATTTTGTGGGCGTAAGTGTGGAATTGCACGCCGCTTTATAGATCTCTCAATCTCAGACTCGCACACATTTTTGATTTACAGACGAAAAGCCAGAACAAGATTTTCTTTTTCCTAAAACGACCTTTATACTTACCGTGGAGCTTCTTCTGATATTTTTAATAACAGATCATTGTTTAACACATACCTATAAAAGAAAAAGAAAAACAAGAAGGACAGTGTTTGTTTCTATATTTTGTCTGGCAGCTCCTAGGCTTTCTTGCAGCACTCACCCAGTTGATTCATCATGCTTTCTTGCTACACGATCTCTCCAAGCATACAAATGTTTTAAGACGTGAAGCTGTAGTTGATTGAAATTTTTCTTATGGTCCTTCATAAGTTTCAAATAGCCTTTCTCTTCGAACACAGGAGCTTTGTACACCTGTAACCAAAGAAAAGTTTAAACTTTTTAAAGGAGAAACTTACAAATCACAATTTCATTTAATCGCTTACTTTTTCGCTCAACAATTTACACTTTGCATAGACATTTTGTATAATTGTTGGATATTTTTCTTGCAAATCAGATAAACGTTTAAATAAAATGTCATAAATAACCAAAAGGTAGTGCGTATCTGTACGAGCGTAGTTAATTTGATTTTCGGTTAATGGCCTGCAAAGAAAAAGAAATATTAAGGCTTTCGAAGAAAAATCAAACAAACTTACCGGGTTCTCCAATCAGACATTTGATACTCTTCATTTTTGTCAACATCACAAATCTTCTTTAATAAATATTTTAAAGATAAACACGGAAACTTTAGTTCTCTTGCAGCAATTTCAGTATCAAATAAATTTTTCAGTTTTATTCCATCACGTTGTAACCATAGAATATCATTGTGACTACCGTGCATTATCTGGAAATGTAGCACGAGAAGAGGCGAAAATGCAATTACAATCTTCTCGGTCTATTTCACAGAAGGGAACGTCTCGAGACTACAGTTTTTGCATGTTTCTTAGTAGAAAAACAAGCAGTGTCCTCTGTGTTTCTTTCAACCTGCACTTCTTAGAACTTTTATGTAGAAGAATCTATTTATCTAATCGAAAAAGGTAGGACTCAATGATCAATGTGCAGCTCACATTCTATCTGTGGAAAATTTTACTTACTTTCACTATATTTGGATTTTCAAAGACTAAATTTAAAAAATGTAATTCATCTCTCAGTTGTAACGCATCAATAATATAATCTGTTGTACGAGTAGAAATTTGAACTAAACAGGTAATGCCTCTATAGGAACGATAAGAATGTTGCTGTAAATAGAAAGGATAAAGAAGAAAACATGAGAGAGTAAAGAAGTTTGCGCAACAGTACTAGACTTACTTCTAAATCAACAGCAATTTGATTTTCTTTTTGAAGTTCTTCAGTCATACGCTTTAATCCAACTGATCCTTCCACATAAACCAACTGAGTTTCTTTTAAAGGTTTTACACGCTAAAAGCAAAGGATATGAAATGCCGGCCAAGGGAAAAGAAGGGGGACGAGTAGTAAACAAAATGATCTGTACATCCTAAATGGACAATGCTTACGTCAAATTGTGATGAGTGAACGGAATGATTTAAATTTTCCAGTTCGTTTTCGTAATTTATGTTTTCAAATTTTTTCTTCTTTCTTCTCTTATTAGAATGGAGATTATTATATGAATCTTCACTGTCATAGCTGAACGCGCTCTCATAGCCACCGGGTATAATCATATCTGAAACAATGAGTGGAACGAAAGGCGTATTCAAAGACCAGCGCAGAGTTTAGCAATAGAAAGAAGAAAAAACCTCTGTGAAAAGAAATCTAAAAAAAAGAGACATTCACAAAACAAGTGTCTGCAACTGCGCTCGCCAACTTTTTTTCGGTCAAGATATGCCTTCATTAGATTGCTCTTTCATGAAAACTTCACCATTTGAAAAAATATGAGCTTGTGCCTCCATGTTTTATATAGAAAAAGAACTGTCTCTAGTGACAGCGAGAAGTACTTTAAATGAAGTGCAGATTATTCCATCGAGGTATCCCATCTACTAAAGAAAGTAGTCTGGAGAAAAGCGAAATATAATATCACACAAACAGTCTCTTTTAACGTGATCAGAA